TACAAAAAAAAAATTACTATTTCGAGAAAGATTATCATACATATTTTTTTTAATCAGTTCAAAATTACTATGTGACAAAAAAGGGAACGTTTTTTCCACTTTCAAAAATACAGCATAATGTTAAATGGAGTTGTATAAAAATTATTTCGCAATTTCTTTGGCAAATAATTGTTAAGGTCAAAATTGTTTTGTGGCATAAGTACCACTATAAATATTAAACACCAACTCACTGGTATATATATATATANTAATTGTTTATATATATATATATATATATAGTAAATAAAAGACTCCCAACCAATAAACAAAAATTGAAGAAATAATATAATGAGCAAAAATAATAATTAAAAAAACAAAAAAACAGCATAAATCAACTAGTGATATTCGTTCATTGAATTCTATCACAGATAAAATTCTGGAAGGGGAGTAATGTGGCGTAACTACCACTACAAATATTAAATACAAAATCACTAGTGTATAAGACATGTTAACTTGATTCTATGAAGAGGTAACATTTGATAGATGAAGGTTGACACAGTCGATAATTAAAACCCCTCAGTTTTATTCAAAAATAAGAAAAATAACGAATTTTCATAATTTTCAAAAAATAATAATGCATAACAGTAAAATTAGATTCCCCGTTTCAATTCAGTTGGATGCGCAAAGGGAATAATAATTAAATGAAATTTCAGAAGTCAAAAACAAGCTTTAGTTTTGCTTTTAACGCAACAAAAGATTTTCAACAAAAGCATCCAACTATACTTCATAAACTTTCAGAGGGGTGGAGATGTTTTCAGAATTGATGGAACAACCGTGTCAAAAGAGGGCGTGTGCTACCCACCTCCACTCTTATCAATTAGGTTGGGATAAATTGCGCCCCGGGAAATAACAGGGAGCCATAATTAAAAGAGTTTTCGTTAAGCCCTTTGAAATTAGTGAGGCCTTCATAATCACGGCTATTCTTTCTCCTTGGTTAAAGAATTTTCTCTTCCATTTCAATCTTTTTTTTTTTTTCACTCTCTACTAATTCCAGCAATTGTCTACTAAAGGAATCCTTTTGTAATAAGGTTATAATATTAACAGGCGAAACGAAATTAATTTAATCTACAAATATTTTAATTGATGTAAAGTAAACAATGGAATTAAAAGTTATGTCATTTTACCGAATTATATAACTGACACAATTTAAGAATTTTCCTTTCATTTGAATCTCTTTTTTTAAAACAAAAATCTAATCTTACTGTCAGGGCACAAAAATAACAAAATAAGTCAATACAAAAAAAAATTACTATTTCAAGAAAGATTATCATGCATATTTTTTTTAATCAGTTCAAAATTACTATGTGACAAAAACAAACAGAAGCATATTTCAGAAGTTGTTTACAAAAAGTTTCTAATTATTTTGATAAGGTTCTCAAATTAACCAGATAGGTTGAATGAGACTAATTTTTAAATATTTTAATTGTTTTGAAGTAAATAAAAGAATTACAACTATGCTGTCATTTCACATTATATCAGATACAATAATATCTAAATATACATTCAGTATAATTTAATAACATTTAAAAACATTCGTTTTCATTGGATCATTCTTCCCTTCGTTTCTTAATTTTAATTCATCATTTGTCTGCAAAATATTTATTTTTACGATCCAATTCAATATTCCGCATTGGTTAAACAAACCTAAATTCATTCAATATGTAATATATTTAATTAGTTGTAATGCAAAGACTACAATAATAAATAATGTTGATATTTTACACAATTGAACATCAAACACACATTTTAACAAATAGTCTTATTTTATGAATATTTAAATAAATATTAAATTTGATCTGCATTCACTTCTAAGGCAGTTGTTATTTGTTAGAATATTTGTTAAAAAATTGTTTTGTTACCATACTGAAATATTTTCGCTAAAAATATATTTCTCAATTATACCTCCACAATATCTTATTTGTGTAAATTAATTTTCATACGCTGCTAAATATATGAAAATAGCGAGATGTTTATATTAAATATTTGTTTTATTAGGAATTGAAATTTGATTTACAACTCCAATTCCACATTTAAAAATATTTCTTCTGTATTTCCGACGAATAATTAAATTAGAAATATCGAAAGGTGAAGATTATTAAATATTTTGCTAAAAATCTGATAGTAATGCTTAATTAAAGGTGTTGTTTTAACTATTAATTAGTGCTATACACAAGTTTATTAATGTTAATAGTTTTCCTTATTTTGGTGAATGTATTCCTTAAAAAATATCTATACCAGACCTTAAGATAGTAAAAGTTTTAAATGACTCATTCATAAAAAATAATATTCTTTTAACTACTCTACTGTTAATAATTAACTAAAAAATATTGACATGAATTTCAATTTGGACGAAAAAACAATCTAAGACCAAAACGTTTGTTCAGTATTTTGCATCACATCAATATATTTTATATTAAGTTCAAATTAAACTAAGTTTAATTTTCCTAATAAAGATGCTACGCATCCAATTCTTTGCTACATATGAACTGTATGTCATTAGTTGAAATTGTTTTTATTATTATTCTGCAAACAAGAACAATTCGCCTAAAATAGATCTTGAATCTACCATTCTTTTAACCTAATGATAGAAATATGAAAGATTATTAATAACATTTCTAGTTTTTCATTTTAAGAAGTGCTATTTATGAACTTGAATTACTTTCTTGATAATTTATAAATTTCAATAAACAAAGGTATTCTTTAATTTTCTGATTATAGAAACCATTCTAGTGGTTTATACCGAATCTTGTATTATATCTTTAAAGTGATTTAATAAGATGTAAAAGATTTTTTCTCAATAATTTTTTAAATATATATTTTTTTGAAAAATTAACTTTTAATTTATTTCGTTCTGAACTATGCACAGAAAATTTAAAATTGATCCATTAATTTTGAAAATAAGTCTAGATAAAGCAACTTCCCAGTCATTTTTATGAACCTATTTTTGTTAATGTTTTTTCTATAACAGAATGCCATCAACCTGATTAACACTAGAGAGACTGAAATACTACCTATACTGAAATACTAGTACCTATATTGCCCAAAAGCAGTCAAAATAAGTGGATTGTGAAAGAATGACTAATGTGTAAAGAAATTTGTTTAAAATTATTTTTTAATATTTTTTTATATTATTTGCAGTTATATAACAAGCTATTAGTAAATATTAACAAGAAAAAAATTATATGTTGTACAAAAAGTCACAAAATTCTAAGAAATTGTGTCATCATTGTTTTTCTAACTGAAGTTAAAAAGCAGTCAAAATGACTTCCTTAAGCAATCTAGTGTTAAAAATTATTAAGTTCATCCAATATTCTAGTTTTGTTTTGTTCTTAATGTAACTATCGAGATTCCTTTTTATATAGCTATTTACGAACTTTTGATGAACTTTCTTAATAATGATCTGAAGGCACTGCTGGCTCAAGCACTTACTACGCCACCACCAAGTCGTAGAGTAGATGGTGGGATAATTACCTAATGTTAACACTAGGCTTCTCGAACATGCTTGGATTATTTTCAGGCTGGCACATCACTTGAAGACAACTTAAACTCATTCTCACTGCATGCGAAAGAAGCGTGTTTGTGAATTTGGAAATGCGAGCAAGAACCTCATTGGTGAGTTTTTCGTGGTACATACATTCCACTAATCAGGTTTTCATACGGTAATTATTCACTCGTAGTGAAAATGATCTAGATATAAGAAACGAAGGGAAAAGTGCAGCCCGAGCCTTCAGCGCGGAGAATCAAATTCTAGCTTAAGTCGGGGTAAGCGAAGACTCCTTGCAAAATATTGTTGTTAAATGATTTTATAATAGGGTAAACTAACCAGTGAAGGAACACTTAAGCTTCGTTTGCCTTTTAAAAAATCATATTAATTTCAAAATTCGTAATTTTAGTTAAATGACAGTGTCAACATATAAGTTACTAATTGCAAAATTATGTAAAAAAATTTTTTAGAGAACTTACATAATATTGTTTTAAAGTTTTGGAGGTTCAAATAACAAGTAGTAAGAAGACCAAGTGAAGGAACAGCTCTTACTAGTGAATGAACACCCAGTAAAGGAACACTTAATTTTGGTTATTTTTTAATGCTCTTTATGAATTTATAAGCCATACAAATATTTAAAAACAAGCCTATTCTTGAAATTATAACATATAAGTACTTGAAAAATATTAACTTTTTTTGTAATCATGAATTGAAAATTAAAGTGACAACATATTCACATATTCAACATATTCACAGGGAAATCTATGCCAAGTAAAGGAACATGCCTGTTCCCTCACAGGTTAGATGTTGTTTTTCGTATTTTTAACATACTTTTGATGCGGAACATCGCTAAAGGTACAAAAAAATTAAGGGCTATCTTTTATTTTCTATAACTTAGAAGAAAAAAACAGTAAAGGAACACTTGTTCCTTCTCTGGTTTTTCATCGTTTGGTGATCCAATGAATAAACACCCCCTTACCTCAGTACTTTATTATGCTATGATGCTTTAAAGAAAATAAAACGTAACTTCAACAACTATATTTTGAATTCTCCTTTTCACAGTGAGAAAAATAAAACTATTACATGCAATTAATTCTACTTCAAACATATAAATACAAACACTCACCTTATAATTTTTTCAAAGAAACAAGGTGATGCAGAGATAATAACAAATTCAGAAATTTTTCCAGAGAAGTCTATTTGACCAGGTAATCCGAAACATTTCTAGATGACTTCCTATTGTTTGGCAGTAAGCTATTGTTACCAATCAATCTAAAGAGAAACTTTCTAATTCTTATTTTTAATCAATATATATGAAATGTTCCGTCACTGGTTTACCCTATTGTATAAAATGTTTAAACAACTTAATAATGTTGTTGAATTAGTTTACATTAGGATTCTGAGTGTTGTTTTTCTAGCTTAATTGGGTAAAAGAACTTAACAATTTTGGAACGTTTTAGATGAGTTTTTTGTTTTCTTTCAGAAACGTGTGAGAAAATGTATTGTTCATTTGGTGCTACATGTTTAGTTGACCAGTTAACGCAACAGGCTTACTGCCGATGCGAAGATACATGCGAAGATATATTTGATCCCGTCTGTGGAAATGATAGAGTTACTTATTCAAGTGATTGCCAATTGCAAATGGCTGCTTGTTTGCAGCAAAAAGGAATTTATATACACCATCAAGGAAAATGTGGTAAGATATTCATTTTATGATTTGCTTTTATTACATTGGGAGCCTTATAATTTCGAGGAGATAAATACTACTAAAATAGAATATGGAGACCAATGAGATATTATTGATTTCGAAACTCATTGAAAAGTCATGTTTCAGAGTTATATAGCTATCCTTAGATGTCACTTATATTGCTAATTATTCGCCTATTTAGGCTAATTGTTTTCTGAAGAGTATTTCTTTTTAGAGAATACGAGCCTAATACATGCCTAAAGGCTTGTATCCAAATATGTATGGAAATAAAAAGTATTTTCTTTAAATAAAATTTTTCAAAATATTTGAATATTTGACATAGAAAGAATAAAATATAATCTTTAAAATGTGGTTCAGATGATTAAGCTAAGACTCCGAATTAGGATTAAGCACTTAAATGCATTTTTTTCTAATTATTAAGATTCTAATATTAATTTTTAACAATAATATAATATTTTGTTTAACATTCATAATCATAATTTTCAAATAAAATAGTTCTGAGGAATGAAAATTTAACATTTTAAAAAACAAAATCGAAAATTTAATTAAAAAAATACCTAGTCGTCTTGTTCTTTAGCAGTAAAATTTCTTACAAAGTCATTTTTATAAAAGTGTAAAATACATTCCTTTAGAAAATAAAATTAGAGTTTTTTAAAATCGTTTTTGTTTTTTTGAGAATTAGTGTTTTTAGCTTAACAATTCATATCAATATGGTCATCTCTTAGTAGGGGAGAGGAGTTCATTCTAAAAATTTCCATATGCGTAAGTTGTGATTCAATTGTAATTTTGTTTTCCATACTCAAGACTATCAGATATCTACAAACACTATTTTCCGAATAACGTTTATCTTTAGTAAAACATAATTTCGTAATGAGTTTCTATATATAAAATAAACGCAATAAAGAATACAGAATAATTTAGTTTAAAAAGATTTCATATCCTTACTTAGAACTAACTATATACCTATAACAGTAAAAAAAAAAATGACTAACATTGCGCGCATAGAAAGATTCCTTATTTGTTCTAGCAAATTCTATTACCGATTAGTAAACACCATTTGTTAATTTTAATTACCATTACAGTGAAATTAACGAGCCCATAATTAGTAACTTCAATCATTATTTCGTATTATTTAAGCCACGCATTAATTTTACTTTTTTACGTTTCGTGTGATGGAAAACGTTAAAAATAAGCCACCCATTAAGTATCTGGAAACGCTATTTATCAAAGATGTTCTTAGCTTCAAAGCCATTTTCGAACGTTGTGTGATGACAACTAACCTAACCTAACTGGGTGATAACGATGAAATATTTCTTTGGAGTAAAAATATTTAGTTATGTGAATTATCGTTCGTTAACGTCGTAAAACTTGGTGATAAAATGCGTGGGATGTTTGGAATATCTTTTGGAAATATCCTTTCTTGGGTAATTTCTGGGAAAACTGTTCTTTGTTCGCATGTTTTGTTGAATTTCTTTGTTACACGATTTTATTTTACTTGTTTTTTATTCAGCGAATAATTAGCTAGTTTAATTTATAATTTTCCTTTAGTTAATATTTGTAATATCTTAATAATCTTGATTTAAAAAGGGATAGTTTTCAACAATATTTCATTTTTATCCAAATTATTTTCATTTTTAGCTCTATTGTACTTTTGAGTCATTGTAGAACAGAGGAAGAAAAAAATATATATCCTCGATCAGCATGCCAATTTTACATATAAATAATTTTGCTTTGTCAAAATAATTTACATAGATGTAAATTATTTACTTAGATGCTTGCAAAATGCGTGTAGATTGTAGAAGCGGGTCCAATGTTTGTTTGCATACATTAAAATTCAAATTAGTTATTGTTGTAATTCATTTTATGAATACGTCGCACTAGAGCTGCGCAATGGGATATTGGTGACTGTCTGGGAAACATCCCTGAGAATGATCCGAAGACATACCATCGCAATTTTGATCCTCTGCAGAGTGGATGGCACCCCCGCTTCGGTAGCCCGACGACCTGCACAAGACGACCAGCACACTTTACGGTAGAACAGTTTAACGAGGACCGATACCGCGCACCCACAGTCCCTATGCAGGCTGATCCAAGTGGTCACCCACCCGCACACTGACCGCAGCCCGTGATGCTTGACTTCGGTATTGTATTGGGAACCGTGTCCTTACAATCAGTTCACTGCGAGACGATGATCCAAAGTTGATGGTCAATATTTTATTCACGTCGCACTAGAGTTAGAGCACGCGAAGTCAAGCACTTTTCAGTAGAAGAGTTTAACTAGGACCAATATCGCACACCCTCTGCCCCTACGCAGACTGATCCAAATAGTCACCCACCCGCACACTGACCGCAGACAGTGATGCTTGACTTCGGTGATCTACTGGAAACCGTGTTTTAACGATCAGTTCACTGCGAGGTAAATTGAAATTAGTATGGATTATAATTATATCAGTTAATAGCAAATCTTTTATATTCTATTTTATTAATTTCATTTATTCTTTAAAGGAGTTTTGGAGAGAAGTAGTTAGAATCTCAAAAACTCTAAAATTGAATTTCATGAGCCAATCTTTTTAAACATAGACTTAGAAATTTTCCGAAGTTTTCGAAATATGAAGTACGGGAGGAACTTCGGTTTATAATTTGATCCTTTGACGTCATCGGGATAGTTTCAACAATGAAGATTGAAAATTAATTCGGCGGTTTCCAACTATGAAGATTGAAACTTTGATGTATAATTTCCTGTCATGAATGTTTTAATTTCGTTCCGAAATTCCAAAACATTTTCGTAAGTTATTTAGGACTTTTAATATTCTTACTCTCCACTTGTCTTTGGTATTGAAAATCAGAATGTTACAAATACTGCAAAACAAAACGCAGTAATTGCCATGTTATTAAATGCAAACTGAATTGAATTACTGAATTTCAAAACCACTCATCAACAACAAATCTAATTTTACAGGGGAGATTAAAAAACTTCCCAAGTCAAAATTTCCTTTGATGGTTTTCCAATGATGGACCAACATAATCTTGATGGCAACCATCACTCTAATGTAGGAATTCGGACTGATTTATGATGGCCCAACATAAGAATAGCAACTTCTTTTGATGGTTTGTTCATGTTGAAGCATCAGAAATTTCCATCATAGTTTCTTATAAATCAAATGTTTGAACGATCATGAATATCCGTCACTCCGATGTAGGAATTTGGACTGATTTTTGATGGGTCAACATAAAAAAAAAATTGTTTTTATGGCATATTCCTGCTGAACCAACAATAATTTTCATTAATCCGTCATGGAAATGTGTAGTTGGAGCGATCAAGGATTGTTGGTCCGTGAGAATCAAACTTCTCTTGATGGTTAACTATCATAGTATTAAAGTAGCATCTTCCATCATTCCATGATGGAAGTTTGTTGGGATATCAAAAAACATGAATGCATAAAGGAAAATGTTGGATGATGGGGACCATCAAATGATGTCGAACCATCTTGAATCGCACTGAATCCAGCATAACCCAACAAAATGTTTTGATGGGACCATCAAGAATTATTACTTGGGTAAGTATTAGCTACGGATCATGGGTTAGAGTCCCCTTGCCATCAGGCTAACGGTGGGAGGTTGTCGTGATCTTAGTTTTTTCGTTAGAGCTGGGTAACAAATCGATGTATTGTTAATTATTAATATTTTTTAATTATTGTAATAACGATATGCAATGGGTATGCTCACAATGTATTATGATTACGATGAATATCAATACACGTCAACAGTGGAAAATATCGATAAATATTGATGATGGCTCATGGGATAGAGCGTTCGCCCTCCAATGAGCTGAACAGGGTTCGAATCCCAGCGATGGGCTGGTTGATATGAATTCTACACCCCACTCGCACAGACCACAGTGATGACGGAGAATATTCTCAGTGTTAGACGGATCATGGGTTAGAGTCCCCTTGCCGCCAGGATAACTATGGGTGGTTCTCGTGGTCTTCCTCTCCCTGTAACGCAAATGCGGGTTAGTTCCATCAAAAAGTCCTCCACGAAAGCAAATTTCTCTCAATACTTGATCCAGGAGTTCCCTTGTCTTTTGGACTGGGTTCAAAATGACAACATTACGGAGTTTATCCCAAAAATTGGGTTGGCTGTTCAACCACGGTTATAAAATATAAAAATCTTAGTAAGTTTTCCAAAGTTTAACTTCGTGACTACAAGTGTTTAATAAAAGACATTTGATTATTCCCATGTTCGTCAGAAGAAAAGAAAGAAATTTAAAAAAAATTATGAACATAAAAAAAATCAACAAAATTATAATATTGGATATTTTCTAAATATTGAGCAAGCAATGCAACTGGAAAACTACATAAGTTCTATTTGAATAAATAAGTTCTCAACTGAAATATCTTATTATATTGAGGATGATATTCTGGATTGTCTAAATATTGAACATGCAATGTAACTAAAAAACTGCATACGTTCTATTTGATGAAATAAGTTCTCAACTGATATATCACAAATCATCAATCATGAAAAAAAAATCTAAAACAAACTCTTCCTGGCATAAAATAAGCAAATAACATCGAAACACATCATTAATCTTCCCTAATACTCAGCAGTTGAACTGGATTTGGCAATAAGCCCGTTCTTCAATGTATCAGTATATATCTTGTTACGTATCAAGCTACTTAAGAGATATATCTCTAGCTCAAAAACGAAAGTATCAGGTAGATTACAAATAGCTGAATTATGTGACCAATGGCTTTCTAGTATATACATCAACCATCAACTGCACTCCTCTACGAAGAACTAATCGATACAAATAATGATATAATGATGAATTGAGAGATCATTTTTTTCCCTGGCTTCTTAAGCTTTCATAGGGATATTTTTTTGCAACAATGTGAGCTAGCTAAGAAAGTTTTCAGATTCATTTCTAAAGATATTTACTCCGTCTACTTTCTCTTAAATTTTATTAGAATACTAAGGTATATTTA